GAACCTCAGAGATTTCAATGGAAGGAAATCAAGTTCAATGACTATAGCAAATCCCACTCTCTCTTGTCTTCCACCTGATAGTGTCTGTCTGGTAGACGAGTCAAGTAATAATCCTGGCATTTGGGTTAGATCCTTGACATGTGGGGAGCATGTCCCACAAACAGCCGTGAAGTCAACAACCAATTTTATCGAGGTGAGGGGGATTGTTGGCCAGTAGGAACCCCTTCTCTTTTCGAACAGCGCCGTAGGATCTTTAACGTCCACCTGAGCAGGTACAGGTAGTCAGGGTGCTTGGTTTAATGTCTCATCCCTCACCTGAAGAATGGGGCTCCGACATTGTAGTGCTCCCCCAGCACAGCACTGGAAAGTCATCTTACACTATTTTGGTTCCAAGTCTTCACATTCTTCTGATTGAGGCAAGACAGAGAGTGCTGCCGACTGAGCCAGGCTCAAGACTCTCGAATACAGGTAGATAGGAACATGGGAACAGGAGGAGGCCATTCAGCTGTACCTCAGGTAAAGGGAGTCTAAGTCCCAGACTGCTGTCAACTCAATTAAACCGTCTTTGAAATTTGGACTTTGTTTGGCCCATAAAATGCACAAGAGGTTTCTTTGTTCACTGCAGGAAATATTGTTTGATCTGAACAAGATTGATTCCCAGTGCCAGGATTGAGCTTTATCTGTAAGTTTCATTCTGGAACTACAGAAACAACAGCTCCAGGATTGGTAGTGTTAGATATCATTCCGTTTAGGTAAAATCTGTTAAGCCAAGTTTATTGAAACAAACATATACCATTGAAACGCGCTTATTTCAGCAGTCAACCGTCAACACCGCTAGGCCGAGTGCTGCGGGTCCGGAAGAGGGCTCTTTCTTAGTTACTGCAGTTATTCGAGCTTTCGATCTTCCATCACGATCTGTTGGCACCGTTCCGGACTGCTTCCCACTTCTCTTTTTCGGCTACTTGTGGTCAGTGGCCTGACTTGAAATTACATCCCTTTTTACATAGCCAATCACTTTGTGTTGTACCGCGCCTTATTCGACGGTTTGTCGACCAACCGCCTGCTCCTTCCTGGGGCCCTGAACCCACTTCTGATACAGTCACGTACTCAGGTTAATCAATCATTTGACTTGGTGCCAACCTGACTGAGGCTCCACCAGGTCTTCCCTTTGTCCTGATAGGAGATGGACCAGTTGAGGGCTGTACCCGGTGCTTGTTATTTTGTGGTGTGGGATCATTAGTACATTCCTTTTAAGTGACTGCTCATTTCTTATCAGGTATCCCGGGACGGTACCAAACTCCTTTAGTTTAAGCAACTTGCTCATTAGTTGCTCATTAGAAATCATTGAACTTGATTTCCTTCCATTGAAATCTCTGAAGCTCTGGATCTAATATCAATATCTCGTAGCTCAATGGTTTGGGCAATCGCCTCACAAGCAAGAGGACCTGGGTTCGATTCCCGGGCAGAGCAAAACCTTGCATATACATCACTCTGATTCAATACTGCAAGAGTCAAAGTAAATGACACATACAATTGATCAGAACATCTTCAAGTAATATGAGGAACATTGGTATTGCAGCATTTATAGATACTCCTGTTCCAGATATTCTCCCCAATATTTTCAAACCATCAGCTGAACTCGTCTTTAAAGACTACCACTTCTCCCTCTTTAACGTGGAGTCCTGTAGCTCAGTGGTTAGAGCACTCGCTTTGCAAGTGAGAGACCTGAGTTCAATTCCCGGCAGAGGGCGAAACCTCGGGCAAGTTTCCTTACTCCACACAGAGCCTAATAATAATCCCTCCAAAACCAAACACAATAATAAATTGGTCATTTTCAATCCACGACTGTTTGTGGGACATTGCTGTGCGCAATTGGCCGCCGCGTTCGCCCACAAATATACAGTCAATTCACTTTACAGTGTGTTCTGTGAAGCGCTTTGGGACGTCCTCCCGACGTGATAAGCGCTATATCAAATGCAAGGATTATTATTATTATTATTATTAACTATCACGGTTGGTCATTGTTTAATCTGCCTCGCCACTTTGTGCTCATGCCGTGTGTCCCGAATTACTCGACCTTATCTACAATTCAGTGCAGACCCTGATATTCCTTCTCTCTCACTCCTAAAACTATGTACTTTTTCTTTGCTGCTTACGTTTCCAGATTTCACCCACAAAATACACATTCAATTCACTCTACAGTGCATCCGGTGAAGCGCTTTGAGACGTCTCGAAGACGTGACAAGCCATTGTAACTTGGCCACAGCCCTGTGCAAGGAACTTGTTTCTCTGCTTATCACAAAACTCATCACATTCCAAAAATGCTCTTCGTTACACAGGATCAGATAACCGGCCGTGACCCAAAGCCAACATGAAGATAACAGTCACAAGCCTTGCACTTCGAGACGTCTCAAAGCGCTTCACAGGATTCACTGTAGAGTGAATTGAATGTGTGTACGAGATACTGAACCTCCAGAACCTCAGAGATTTCAATGGAAGGAAATCAAGTTCAATGACTATAGCAAATCCCACTCTCTCTTGTCTTCCACCTGATAGTGTCTGTCTGGTAGACGAGTCAAGTAATAATCCTGGCATTCGGGTTAGATCCTTGACATGTGGGGAGCATGTCCCACAAACAGCCGTGAAGTCAACAACCAATTTTATCGAGGTGAGGGGGATTGTTGGCCAGTAGGAACCCCTTCTCTTTTCGAACAGCGCCGTAGGATCTTTAACGTCCACCTGAGCAGGTACAGGTAGTCAGGGTGCTTGGTTTAATGTCTCATCCCTCACCTGAAGAATGGGGCTCCGACATTGTAGTGCTCCCCCAGCACAGCACTGGAAAGTCATCTTACACTATTTTGGTTCCAAGTCTTCATATTCTTCTGATTGAGGCAAGACAGAGAGTGCTGTCTCTCTCTGTGGAGTCCTGTAGCTCAGTGGTTAGAGCACTCGCTTTGCAAGTGAGAGACCTGAGTTCAATTCCAGGCAGAGGGCGAAACCTTGGGCAAGTTTCCTTACTCCACACAGAGCCTAATAATAATCCCTCCAAAACCAAAAACAATAATAAAAATTGGTCATTTTCAATCTACAACTGTTTGTGGGACATTGCTGTGCGCAATTGGCTGCCGCGTTCGCCCACAAATATACAGTCAATTCACTTTACAGTGTGTTCTGTGAAGCGCTTTGGGACGTCCTCCCGACGTGAAAAGCGCTATATCAAATGCAAGGATTATTATTATTATTATATATATATATTGCTGCCGACTGAGCCAGGCTCAAGACTCTCGAATACAGGTAGATAGGAACATAGGAACAGGAGGAGGCCATTCAGCTGTACCTCAGGTAAAGGGAGTCTAAGTCCCAGACTGCTGTCAACTCAATTAAACCGTCTTTGAAATTTGGACTTTGTTTGGCCCATAAAATGCACAAGAGGTTTCTTTGTTCACTGCAGGAAATATTGTTTGATCTGAACAAGATTGATTCCCAGTGCCAGGATTGAGCTTTATCTGTAAGTTTCATTCTGGAACTACAGAAACAACAGCTCCAGGATTGGTAGAGTTAGATATCATTCCGTTTAGGTAAAATCTGTTAAGCCAAGTTTATTGAAACAAACATATACCATTGAAACGCGCTTATTTCAGCAGTCAACCGTCAACACCGCTAGGCCGAGTGCTGCGGGTCCGGAAGAGGGCTCTTTCTTAGTTACTGCAGTTATTCGAGCTTTCGATCTTCCATCACGATCTGTTGGCACCGTTCCGGACTGCTTCCCACTTCTCTTTTTCGGCTACTTGTGGTCAGTGGCCTGACTTGAAATTACATCCTGTATTTACATAGCCAATCACTTTGTGTTGTACCGCGCCTTATTCGACGGTTTGTCGACCAACCGCCTGCTCCTTCCTGGGGCCCTGAACCCACTTCTGATACAGTCACGTACTCAGGTTAATCAATCATTTGACTTGGTGCCAACCTGACTGAGGCTCCACCAGGTCTTCCCTTTGTCCTGATAGGAGATGGACCAGTTGAGGGCTGTATCCGGTGCTTGTTATTTTGTGGTGTGGGATCATTAGTACATTCCTTTTAAGTGACTGCTCATTTCTTATCAGGTATCCCGGGACGGTACCAAACTCCTTTAGTTTAAGCAACTTGCTCATTAGTTGCTGTCCTTGAGGGTTGCCTTTTGTTGCTTGGCAGGCCCTGCCAGAATCTAGCGAGCTCCTGTGTCGACCAATACTTTGGACCGTTCCCTCTGTGGGTTGGTTGTTATTCACTGTTAAGAGGTAACTCACTGCCCTTTTCCAACGCTGTCTTGTTATTCTTTCAGAAACAGAGAAAACCAGACGTGTCCTATCCCACGACTGTCAGTACTTTCTCCATTCTCCATTTGTTTAATGTTTCATTGTTATTAGACGACAACTTCTATTATCTAACAGTAGGAATAATCATTGCATTTCTTTATATCGGTTTATCAGTGGGGGAAGCTTTAGGAAATTCGGGAACGAGGCAATTATAGTAATAATAAACTAGTTACGCCTAATAATAATGCCTCCAAAACCAAAAACAATAATAAATTGTTCATTTTCAATCCATGACTGTTTGTGGGACATTGCTGTGCGCAATTGGCTGCCGCGTTCACCCACAAATATACAGACAATTCACTTTACAGTATATTCTGTGAAGCGCTTTGGGACGTCCTCCCGACGTGAAAAGCGCTATATCAAATGCAAGGATTATTATTATTATTATTATTATTATTATCACACCATCCAAAAGTCTCAAGTTACTTTTTATTTTATTTTCTCCTGTTCTCTTACTTCCTCTCCCAATTCCGAATAACATGGCCTCGATGACAAGAAACAAGTTCTTACGTAATTCTCACCTCCTCAGCGCTTTTCTTGGAACACATTATGTTAATGATTGATTTACTAGGAACTCATTTTCACATCTCCCCCCACCTGCCCCTGCCCCGCGATGTCCTATATATATGAACACCCAACACGCAGAACAGTACAACGCGGAGGTCGAGGAGCGAGTGTGAGGATCCTCTGCTCTCACCAGTCAGCTGATACTTGAAACTCTTACGTCGTTTGATCCCCGTAAAGAGAAAGGATGGTGGTGAGTAGAACGCAGCCGAGAGATGTGTGTCAGCGCAGCAGCCGATATGACACAATACAATTCACTTTGCAGTACGTTCTGCGAAGCACTTTGAGACAGACGTCTGAAAGGCACGATCAGGCGCTATATTAAATGTAAGGTTATTAATGTTACTTAATTGACATTTAAACAGAGCTTTCCACGTCCCAAGGAGATGAACAATACCGGTCTCGGGAGGGGGAGGGGAAATTTGACCGAAAGCACAGTCACCGAGGATAGTCTTGAGACGGAACTTGAATGAACAGTAATATCGTCGTGCTGGCACTCTATCATCCATTACAATTTTGTTCCCACAAAGTAGCCATCATGGGTTAATGTTCCAGCTTCATTTAATGTAGCGCCAGAAAGGGCTCAGTCACTCTCACTCTCACCTCAAAGGCTGCGAGTAAAATCCTGTGAAGCGCTTTGAGACGTCTTGACAGTATGATAAGGCGCTGTACGAAGTGCAAGGGTTGTTATTATAAATCCTTACGCACGAATAGAGGGGACTATCGTCCACAATGAGACTCACTCTCTTGATTTAGTAATAATAATGATCAATCCTTACATTTGATACAGCGCCTTATCACGTCGTTGACACGTCTCAAATGCGCTTCCCAGAATATACTGTGAAGTGCATTGAATGAGTATTTTGTGGGCAAAGGGTTTACCCCACAAACAGAGTTGCTGATAAGGGGATCAGTGTTGTAATACATTGCCCTGTGTTTTGCTCCCAACACCACAGCTGTTTGAAGTGACGGGAATGAAGATGCAGCCCGGAGACACGGTGAGGATCAGAGGGAGGATTCTGGAGGAGGTCGTGAGGTGAGAATCCCGGATTTCCCATCATGATCAACAAACACGTTCATCACATCCCCACGTGCGGCTCAGACTGAGCTAAAGAGAAGCAGATTTGGGCTTTGAATCGCACGGGGTCTGTTCAATTGATCCAATTGATACAACTGAACAGTTTTAGTAGATACCCAATGTTGATACCCAACTCGATCTCTCTGCCTCCAGCCTCGACTCCAGGACACTGCTGTCCTGATGGATGTCTGTCAGACGTCAAGTCCTGGATGAGAGACAATTTTCTCCAATTGAATACTTGGCTCCCGTCAGCACCTCCTCACCTCAGGTCCTGGCAGCATCACTTCACAGATGCACTCTGACCTCACTGAGTCAGTACGGAACATTGGGTTCGACCCTCAATTATCTTTTAAACCCAATATCTGTGCCACGACCCATTCTGCCGGTCACAGAGGTAAGAATATTCAATTAACGGCATTTTACAACGTTTGCTTCTCTCTGTTCTGCCCGGTTGCAGATTCACCGTGAATCTTGGCAAAGATGACAGAAACATTGCCTTACACTTCGACCCTCGTTTCAATCATCTGTGTGATATCAAAAAGATTATCATGGCCACCCGGAAAGATGGCACATGGGGACATGAGCAAAAAGATGACCACTTCCCCTTCTATTGGGGGAAACAAGTGGAGGTAAATAATAATGGATAATACTGATAATAACCCTTACATTCGATACAACAACAGTTTGGATTTACACTGCGCCCTTCATACAACGCAGCATCTGGGAGAGAGTCCCAAAGCTTCAGGGGTTAGTGGCTGAAAGCGCAGGAAGGTAGTGGCATGGAGGGAACGAGGGACAAGCAGGACACCAGAGCCAGCCGAGCAGAGGCAGTGGGTAGTGGAGTGATGGGAAAGCAGGTCAGAAAGGTAGGGAGGTGCCGGGGGGGTGAAGGGATTTGTAGACGATTGAGAGGATCTTGAAATCGATCCGTCCTGTGATAGGGAGTCAGTGGAGCCCAGTGAGGACTTGTGTGACATGTAGTTTATTGTGAGTGACAATCCGAGTGGCGGAGCCCAGTGAGGATGGGAGTGACGAGCTCGCAGATATGGGAAATATTCACTCACGGAACACTCCTTTCCATTTACAGATTATAATTGCCTTCTTGGGCGACACGTTTGAAATCACTCTCTCGACTGGTCACCGGATTGTGTTCCAAAACAGCCTGAAGATGGAAATCCTCACCTACATGTCTGCGTTTAATATGACTGTGTCCGATATCAAATTTTACTGAGGTGCTGAGATGTCTGAACCATTAACCAATAAAAACTTCTGAAGAGCCCATTGAGTTGTCTGTTCTTCTCCTGGAGCAGCCGCTGGCTCCGCTCGACTGGTTCCTGGCTTCTGCATGTCCCTCGTGTGCTCCGTTCCACCAATGGTGACCGCGCTTTACGCCACTCTGCCCCGAACCTCTGGCACACTCCCCCTCTATCACTCCGCCTTGCCCCTTCCTTCCCCATCTTCACGTCGCGCAGGAAGCCATTCGACCGTGTCTTACGTCACCTCCCCCCCCCAACCCCCAGCTCGGCGTCCTGCGCCCCCAATGTCAAGCGCTCCGGGACGCTCTCCCCTGCGTGAGGGGTTAATAATTCCAGATTGCGATTGGCAGCTGATAAAACGCTTCTCGGTTTACATTGAGATGGTTGAACAACACAAACAGCTGCAGTGCCGCATTGAGCCGCACAGGTGGTGTTGATGGAGACCAAAGTCTGCGACGTGAACAATCAGCCGATGAAATGAACGGCTCATTTTCTGGGGCGATTGTTGCTTTGAGACGTCTCGAAGACGCGATGAGAGGCGATGTATCAAATGCCATCATTATTATCCTTCAATGCTCCTGAATTGGGGGATATAACCCGGTATTGGCAGTACCACCTGTCGCCCTCAGTGGGCGATGTTCAGGTAGAGGGCATTGTGGTCCAACAGCGCCGCCTGCGGGACACGACGCGGTACTGCAGCTGTTTGCGGGGCTCAGTCATCTCAATGTAAACCAAGAAGCATTTTACCAGCTGCCAATTGTGATCCGGAAGGTTATTAATTTTGATGATGAATCATTTCCACACAGTGTACCTCCTCTCAGCTTCGAACCACAACTGTGCAGCAAAGCGTCCGATAAAACCCGCAAATGAACCGTACATTAATACTAATGACCCTTGCCTCCACAACGCAAGACAAAATTTGATTCGTGTCGCGCCTTTCACGTCGGGAAGGCATCCCATTCGATACGGCAGCTTCCTGTGAAGCGCTTTGGGACGTCTCAACGATGTGGTCAGGGCGCGATATCAATAAAGAAGCCATTAACCCAACCTTGATTTGGATGAAGTTGTATATTGCCTCTGTCAACCTCTCTCCCTCTTCCTCTCTCTGTGCTCTTTTTTTCTTGCGGAATAAGACGAGGATAAACTGACCCATGGTATTTAGTCCGTTGCGGTGTTTATAATCCCGGCTAATGACCATCATGTGACGCAACACTGCTCCTAATCTTCGCCACAGACGCTTGGAACAAAGCGGTGCGGCAATGGACGTGAATTTCCTAAGGGAGACTTGAAGGTAATTCCAGTGTAAGATTTACAGAGGTAGGAATCCCAGATTTACTCCAGATTTTTCTGCTGCTTTTATATTTACTGTGTGGAGCTACATCCAGAGTGTCCGGAATTTGGCGAATTCTTGACCTCGGAGCGGGTTTTCTGTAATTTTTACGCAGAACCCGCAGAAACCACCAAACATTTTTTTTTTTAGAAGTCCCCAGTTTGCCAATGTTTGGAAATGCTGAGGAAATAGAGCAAATTCTGGATCGAGATAATTATTATTATGATTATTATTCGTAGTAGTAGTATTATTATTATAGACTTGGAATTTCAACCCATGCTGTAGTATTAAATGTGAATGCTGGATGTGCATCTTAATACTTAGGTATGGTCTGTCTGTCTGTCTGTCTGTCGTGTCTCTCTGTCTGTCTGTGGGTGGGAGTGGGAGGGTGGGTGGGGTAGCGATTTGTCCAGTCTTGTTCAGCCGCTCTCTCTATAAGCAATGCTGGAATGGAGCGCTACATTGGTTGGAGACGCCGTCCTTCAGATGAGGCGTTAAATGCGCTCCCAGTCTGTGCCTATTCGGGACGTTAAAAGATCCTGCATCACTATTGGAAAAGAGAAGGGCGTTGTCTCTCTCCTGGTGTCATGGCCGACGATCCCTCCAGATAAAAAATCGGCTGCTTTGGGGCTGCGCTGCTGCGCGCAAACTGGCCGACGCATTTGCCTACAGAGTACACGGTCGCTGCACTTTGCAGCAAAATCCCGTGAAGGGCTTTGAGACGTCTCGACGTTGTGATGAGGCGCTTTATCAAAAGCGAGCCTTTGATTTTTTTATTAATTCATTCATTTGTTCATTTATTTCCTCAATAATGTTTGTTCGGATGCTGCAACGGGAAGGGGTCGGTTGGGCGGGTGTGCCGGAGGCGTGGGGTTGGATGGGCCAAAGAGTCTTTGTCATCCAATAGAGACCGCGTGAGGCACACTCAACAACAACAACTTGCATTTACACCGCGTCCCTCACGCAGGGTAGCGTCCCAGAGCGCTTGACACCAGCCTCGGGGGAGGGAGAGGCGATCGTGGGGGGGGTGGGGGCTTTATAAATCCAAGTTGTTGGTGTTGTTGTAACTAGGCCTAGTCTCTTGCTGTGTCCGCAGATTTTTTTGCCGCCATTAAAAGCGCGAGTCAGGGAGCGAGCGTAGAGGACGGAGACCATGTCTGCACCCGCTGCCCTGCCAACCTACGAGGAGGCTACAGGGGGCGCTAAATGTGGCTCCCCGTCACCGCTAGCGCCAACGCAGCCCAGCTGGGCCTACGTGGACACAAGTGAGCGACTCCCCTTAAAGATCGGGGTGTTCGTTGATCGAGCACCTCCTTGCGTGCCGCAACCCCTCTCGTCTCTCTCTTTCTCTCTCTCTCTCTCTTTCTCTCGCTCTTTCCCGGTGTCCCGGCCCGAAAATCGCTGGTGACTGGTTTGTGTTGTGTAGGCGGCCGACCCAGTTATGGGGAGAAGGAGATCCTCACTGTCTTCACCTGGGATGACAGGAACGTGCGGAGAATCTTTATCAGAAAGGTACGACGACGATGACTTTGGTTTATCCAACGCCCTTCACGCGGGGTAGCGTTTGACAGAGGTTGAGTCTGACCCCACCCCCCACCCTCCGAGCCAAACGGGGGGGGGGGAGGGACGGAGGGGATGGGGGCCGGAGGTCATCGTAAGCACGATCGAAAAGGGAGGTCTTCGGGCGGGGTTTGAAAGTGGGGAGGAAGGGAGGAAGGTGGAGGGATTGAGGGAGAGAGCTCAAGAGATTTGGGGCGTAGAGGGATTGTCTGTGTGACAGGACTGACGGTGGGGGTGGGGGTTGGGGGGAGGGGTTGGGGGTTGGAGTGTACCTGGGGTGGGGGTGGGGGGGGGGGGGGTAGGGTTTTAGGGGATAGAGGGGGAGGGGAGCGAATGTGTGGGGGTGTCTTCCTCACTGATTGCCACACTCTCGATGGCAGGTCTACGCCATTCTGATGATCCAACTCTTCATCACAGTCGCCATCATCGCTCTATTCACCTTCTGGTAACGGTGTCTGTGGCTTCCTGTCTCCCGCTGATAAAATAATTATTAATGGCCCCAATAATATCTTTTCCTTCCCCCCCCAAAAAAAAAACTGCTCGCGTTCGATGCACAACCATTGTCACGTGGGGAGGATCTCCTTCAAGGCCCTCCACAGCCTTTGCTCCCTCCGCCCTCTGTGACCTGCTACCCCCTTAATTAGACCCTGTTCGCTCCCTCCGCTCAGCGGGTTCTGGCCTTCTCCACGTCCCCCTGCCCGCCCCACCATCAGCCTCTTTGACCCCCGCAGTCCCTTTGCCTCGTTCCCTCCCCGGCCTCCTTCAAGACCCGTCTCAAGACCCTCCTCTTCGACCTCGGGCACCCTCCTACCCCCCCCTCCCTGCCTCACACCCCTCCTGATCCCAAACCCCCAGCTCGGGTCCAAGTTCCTGACCGTCCAGTGTTATGAGACGTCCTCCCGACATGAAAGTCAGGTGCTGTGTAAATGTCATTTGTTGTTGTTGCTGTTGTTGTCTCAAAGCACTTGCCAGGCTTTTACTGTAAAGTGTAGTGACTGTGTGCGTTTTACCCGACTGTAATCCGTTCATTTATTTATTGTCTTACGCAGTGACCCGATCAAGGTGTACATTCAGGCGAATCCCGGCTTGTACATGGCCTCATAGTAAGTGCGGGGTCTCTCTGTCTTGGGGGTGGATGTGTCTTCGTCTGTGTGTGCGTGTGTGTGTGTGTTGTCTTGACACGTGTGTGCTCTGCCTTGGTTGGTGTATGTGTGCGTGTTCTGACTTGTGTATCTTTGTATTCTGTCTTGGGTCTGTGTGCGAGCGCGTGGATAGGGATTTACACCGGTATATCTTGCCTGCGCAGATAAATTCCTTTTTGTATGCATATCTCTCACGCGCACTCGTCTCTCTATGTGTCTGCGTGTGCGTCCGTATGTGTCTGCGCGAGGTGTGCCTGTGCTCGGGCGTGTGTGTGCGTGTGAGTGTGTGTGTTGTGTGTGCGCAGAGCCACACACCGTGGCGTTGCGTCTTGGGACCCAGCGGTTTGGGATGTCCTCCCGACATCGATGGTTCGATATAAATGCAATGTAGTATTTTTTCTTGTCCTGTTGTCCCTGACACTGCTCTCTCTCCACTCCATAGCGCTGTCTTCTTTGTCACCTACCTGACCCTCGTCTGCTGCTCGCAACTCAGGTACAAAATTGTTGGGCAAGTTTCCCTCACTCCACACGCAGTGAGCGGGAACCCAGTGGTTAGTGGATTGGCGCCTCTCTTTTCCGGGGTGTAATAATCCCTCCAAAAATAATAATAAAAGCAATTCGTCCACTTCAATCCACGACTGTTTGCGGGACGCTGCTGTGCGCCACGTTTCGCCCGCAAAATACACAGGGTGAAGCACCAGCGCTTTGAGACGACTCGAAGACGTGATAAGGCGCCGTATCAAATGCGAGGATTATTATTATTACTTATCAGTATCGTTAACATCCGTCTGGACACGCACAGGCAAGGAGTGCGGTCTCACTGAAGTCCAATGGCCAACTGAGAAGCTGGTGACCATTGGGTCTTTTTTTTTGTTGCAGGAGATATTTTCCATGGAACCTGATCCTCCTCACCATCTTCGTAAGTATTGTAGGAAGCATCGAGCAGATATATTTTGTGTTTGGCGCTAAGTAGGTTGGCGAGAGCCAAGGATTGGGAACCTCAGAGTGGGAGTCGGGGATGACTCTGGGATGAGCCTAACCAGCTTAAACCCCATAGCTGGCCATTGAGTCCTGTAGCTCCAGCGCCTCGGGACGTCCTCCCGACGTGAAAGGCGCTCTATAAATGGAATCTTGTTGTTGTTGTAGCTCCATGATTAGAACACTTGCCTCACAAGCGAGAGGACCGGGGTTCGATTCCATTCAAGGTAAAACGTTGGGCAAGTTTCCTTACACACACACACACACACACACACACACGCGCTTCTGTTCACCTCAGTAGGAACCCGGTTGTTAGTCGACTGGCAGATCGCTGTTTCTATGGCGCCTTATCACGTCTTCGAGACGTCTCAAAGCGCTTCGCAGCATTGACTGTATATTTTCTGGGCAAAATGCGGCAGCGAGTTGCGCACAGCAGCGCCCCCCACAAACAGTCGTGGGTTGAAGTGACCGATTGTTAAAACATTACGCCCGGGAAAGCCACCCGCCAATCGACAAGGGGTTCCTACTTACTGCTGGGTGACCAGAGGCGCGTGTGTGCGCGCGCGCGTGGAGTAAGGAAACCCGCCCAACGCTGCGCCCCGGCCTGACCCGCCCGGGACTCAAACCCCGGGTCCCTCTCGCTGTGCGAGGCGGGAGCGCTCTAACCCCTGAGCTGCAGGACTCCGGGCATTCGATGACCGCACGAACGGTTGACTTGCATTTTGCATTTTGGGGAGTTATTAACCGTTCTGTCTTTTATCTCGTTTGTTTGTTTGTTTGTTTGTTGGTTTGTTTGTTGGTTGGTTGGTTGGTTTGTTGGTTTGTTGGTTGGTTTGCGTGTGTGCTCTTCACCCTTCTATTAAAAAACAATTAGACGGCCAGCCTCGCGTGCACGCTCGGATTCATATCCAGGTACGTGTGAAGCGATTCGCTTGCGTTTCGAACGAGTTGAATTAACCCGACCATCCGATCCCATCGCCTGCTCCTCCGCCTCACTCCGTCTCCAAGTTCGGTTCGGTTTCGGTAAACCCCCTAACCCGTAATTGTTAAAACGTTTCCTCACTCCACCCGCGCGCCCCTCCGTTTACCCGGCGGTCAGCGGGAACTCCGGTGGTTAGTCGATTGGCCGATCGCTTTCCGGTGGGGGGGAATGATTTTAACCCCTTAAGAAAATAGATTTTTCAAAGAAAATTAGAATTTGGTCACTCAATCCACGACTGCTTGCGGGAGGTGGGGGGGGGACGGACGCTGCTGCGCGCAGTCGGCTGCCGCGTTTCGCCCACAAAATATGCAGTCGATTGACTTTACGTCGTACCCCCCTCTCTCTCTCTCTCGCTCTCTCTCTCTCTCGATACCTGTTCAGAGACTGTTTGGGATGTTTAATCAGAGACCGTAACGAAAACCCAATCCCATCCCAATCCACCAGACAAGCCGTGCAATGGGAGAACGCCGACGGGGTGTAAGAATGCGGGACTTATTAATAGTAATAATACTAAATAATCCTCGAGTCCCAAAGGGCTTCCCAGGCTGTACCGTAGGGTGTAGTAGCTGTGTTTTGTGGATGATTTGGAGAGTGTAAGACGTCTGCGACTGAACCAGGGGACGCGTTGGTTTTTATTTCTCAGTTATTACAACACCAAGTCTGTTCTGCTCTGTTTGGCTATCACCGCACTGGTGTGTTTCGCTGTTATGATCTTCAGTTTCCAGACGAAGGTTAGTCGCTGACCTGCGCTGCTGAATATCTCCGCTGTCTTCCATGTTTCTTCCAACCTCTCAGATCGAGGCAATGTAAATCCTGCCTCAGGTACATGGTCTCACCTGAGTTTAGACCCGTTCCTTACCCTCCTCCTCTCTCTCTCTCTCACTCTCTCTCTCTCTCGCTGTTCGCCTCTGTTCCCTCGTTCTATCTCCCCACCGCCAAACCCCCTCGCTTTTTCTCTTACTCTCTCGCTCTGTCGCCCCCCCCCCCACACCCCCATTGTGGGCGGGCAGTCGTGCCTTCAGCCTCTCTGCCCCCACGTCCTTCGGAGCTCAAGGGAGGGGAGCGAGGCGAAGGGAATGTGGGATGGAGGTGCGCGCGCACATGTTTTTTTGCACACTCCCTTTCCCCCCCCCATCATTTCCCCCCCCCCCACCCCCACCCCTTCTCTCATACTATCCCCTTCCCTCGGCACCTACTCACTCTGCCCGGCTCTGTCACTGTGAAGCGCTCCGAGACGCCGTCCGGCGTGGAAGGCGCTATATGAATCCAAGTTGTTGTTGTCGTTGTCGTTGTCGTCGACATCTCTGCTTCCTCTCGCAGTTTGACTTCACCTCCTGCCACGGGGTTATGTTTATGCTGCTCATTGTTCTGTGCATCAGCAGCGTTGTCCTGGCTGTCGTGCTCCCCTTCGGATATGTGAGTTAACACCCGCTCCCCCCCCTCCCCCACATCCCCCCACTCCCGTCCTGGAACCTGTGTGCCTTGCGGGTGAACCCCTCCCTCCCTCCCCTCCTCCAAAGCTCTGGAACTCTCTCCCTCTATCCCTCCCTCCACCTCGCTCCTTCCTTCCCCATCTTCAGATCGCGCCTGAGGACCCGTTCCTCTTCGACCTGTGCCTACGGTCACCTCTCCCCCCACCCTCTCCCCCCCCCCCCCCCCACCCACCCGGCTCGTGCTTTGCCTCTGTCGAGCGCTCTGGGACGCTATCCTGCGTGACGGGGCGCTGTGTGAATGCAACTTGTTGTTGTTGGTGTTGTTTATTTTAACTCTTTAACGCCCTCGTTGCAGATTCCCTGGCTGCACGCCGTTTACGCCGTGATGGGCGCCATTGTTTTCACGACGGTGAGTCTCTCACAGCCTCTTCGTTTCGGGGGGACACGGATACCCAATGCGATTATTTTCCTTTCTGTTTCGTAGCCCAAGAGAGCCGACGGTTCCCCTCAGAGACGAGGTGAAACCTCGCCTCGAGCGTCCTCCAGGTCGTTGCCAAATAATAATAATAACCCTAGCATTTGACGCAGCGCCTTATCGCGTCTCAAAAGCGCTTCGCGGGATCGACTGCGAAGTGAGCTGACCGTTCGGGTTTGGCGGGCGAGAGGCGGCAGCCGATGGAGCGCGGCAGCTCCCCCCCACCCCCACACGCGCACAGTCGGCGCCGCCGTTTTCGGCCGCCATCGCTACCCTTTGCGACCAAACCCTGTGAAGGGCTCCGAGACGTGTCGCCCGCCCCCGACGAGGCGCGCTGGGTCAAACCGATCACCGCCCCGTGTCTTTGGCTTCCAGTTTCTGGCAGTCGACACCCAGCTCCTGATCGGGAACCGCCGCTTTGCCATCAGCCCGGAGGAGTACCTGTTTGGAGCCCTTAACGTCTACCTGGACATCGTTTACATCTTCTCCTTCATGCTGCAGATTTTTGGGTCCAACGGTGATTAGCTCCCGGTTCCCCTCCTCCCCCCTCCCACCATCTGACCTGCCGGCCCCAGGTAAACGTGTAAAACAACAACAACTTGCATTTACATCGCGCCCCCCCCACCCCCACCCACCCTCACCCCTGGTAGTCTCCTGCGGCGCTTCACCGCGTCCGCACTGTGTTACTTTGCGCGTGGAGTGTGCAAATGGTTTTCGTGGTGTCCGTCTCGCCAATAAACAATGGAACGGTCAGTCTCGGCTTAATTCGGACTCGCTCTCGGTGGGAATTCTGTCCGAGGGGTGGGAGTTGTGCGCGTGTGTGCGTGTGTGTGTGTGTCTCTCTCTCTCCTCTCTCTCTGTTATCCAGTGGGTCTGTATGTATGTGTGTAGCCTTCGTGTGGAGTGCGTGTGTCTGCGGGAGGAGGAGGAATGAGGAGGTTAATAGACTGAACTCTGTTGGGGGCGTCTTTTTTGTGCCGGTGACCCTTCAAATAACACACACGGAAACCCCTCACTGTTGCCTAAGAACACCCAAATCGAGATGAGATTTCCAATGCAAGTGCTCTCTCTCTCTCTCTCTCTCTCATTGGAGGGACGCCCTCTGCTTCCCTAATTCCGGAGAGTATTAGGCGCAGGTTGGCGAGAGCCAAGGCTTGGGGTGGTGGGGGGGGGGGGGGGTGGGAGCCCAGAGTGTGCGTTGGGGGTAACTGCTGAGGTCTAACCGGCTAAACCCGCACACACAGCCTCGGCCATTGGGAGCGAGGTCTGGCCAAGCCTTCCCGCTGCTGGTCCGGCTCGGACCCCCCTCCCCGTTAGTTAGTTAGTTAGTTAGTTAGTTAGGGCTTTGGCTGTGGGGTTACCAGGAGCTGAGGGGGAGGATTCCCGGCCCCCAGTGACTGGTCGTGAGCCGGGCTGGGCTGTGCCGCCATCAGCGGTGAGTGCCCCGGGACACTGCGGCCCCTCCCGGCTCAGGAACCGGGGGCTCGAGACCGTCACGGAGGGGCGGGTGTGGGGGGTGGGGGGGGTTGGGGCTCGATCCCCACATTCCGTTGCCAGGCAGGTCACCTCGGAGCCAGTTCAGTTTCGGGGAGACCTCCCCGCCCCCCTCCCACTCACCTTCGCCTGCGCACCCCCCCACCCTCCCCCCACCAGGTGTTTATGGGCGGGGGTCTGGGGCGGGGTTTGAGTGCGGGTGGGGTTGGGGGTGTGGTTTGCGAGTGGGCGGGGCTGGGTTGGGGGCGTGGTTTGAGTGTGGGCGGGGCTGGTTTGGGGGCGTGGTTGCGAGAGGGCGGGGTTGGGTTGGGGGCGTGGTTTGAGTGTGGGCGGGGCTGGGGGGGCGGGTCCGGGCCGGAACCTTTGTTGGCGGCTCCGGTGGGGACGGACGGACGGGTGTTGGTGACGGACCAGTAATGGCGGCGCCCACCGGCGGTCCCGCGCTGTTCGGGAACTTCAGCCGTTATTATCAGTTCAACCCGACGGCCGAACGGCTCAGCCTCATCCCCGCCGCCGCCATCACTGAGCTGCTGCCGCCCCGCGGCTCCCGGGAGGCCCTCGCCCTGGATGTGGGCTGTAACTGTGGGGTAAGTGGGCGACCCCCCCCCACCCCACCCCCCCCACCCTCACCCCCCCCACCCCACCCCCAACTCCACCCATACCACCCCCATACCCCCCACCCCCAACCCCCCACCCTCACCCCCCCACCCTCACCCCCCCCACCCCCCCCACCCTCACCCCCACCCTCACCCCACCCACCCTCACCCCCCCCACCCCCCACCCTCACCCCCCCCACCCCTCACCCTCACCCCCCACCCTCACCCCCACCCACCCTCACCCCCCCCACCCTCACCCCCACCCACCCTCACCCCCCCACCCTCACCCCCACCCTCACCCCCCCACCCTCACCCCTCACCCTCACCCCCACCCTCACCCCCACCCACCCTCACCCCCCCCACCCTCACCCCAACCCCCCACACACTCACCCCCAAACCCCATAACAAAATGTGCGTCGCGGTCAGTGTGAGCTCTGAGGAGCCTCTTGAGGGGCAGAAGGCCATGGATTCACAAGGGGTTGAGGCCAACGGACTGTGGGACGGAGTTCCAGAGGGCGGGGGGGGGGGGGGGGGCGGCTGGGGTGGATGTGAGGGGGGTTGGGGGGTGCAGAGAGGCTGGAGGCTTGACCGCTAGATGGTGGGTGGCCGGCCGGAGGGAGCGGTGGGAGGCTGTGGGGAGTGGGGGGGGGGTGCGCCGTGGAGCAGGAGCCGTGCCGGACCCCACTGAGCACTCGTATCGGGAGTAGTTGTTTTCTTTTTTTTAACCATCTTTAACTAAAATCTTTATAAATAAAAAAGAAAGAAAGAAAGAAAAGAACAAACTCTCTTTCGGTCTAAAAATTCCCCTCTTCAGGACTTGAGCCTCGCTCTGTACCAGCACCTCGACGGCTCGAGCGGAAACCTGCAGCCGGAGGTTCCGAGAGGGTTGAACCTGAAGCTGTTGGGCTGCGACATCGACGCCGACCTGATCCGCAGGGCCGTCGAGTCCAACCCCTTCCCGGAGTCCGTCTCGTACGTTACGCTGGACATCATGGACCCCGCGAGGCGAGAGGCCGTGCTCGAGCCCTACCTGGGCGGCTTCGGCCGGCGCTCCTTCGACATTTGCTTCTGCATGTCCGTCACCATGTGGATCCACCTCCACCACGGCGACCAGGGACTCCTGGACTTCCTGCTCCTCCTGGCCCGGCTCTCGGGGGTCCTGCTGATCGAGGCCCAGCCCTGGAGGTGTTACCGCTCGGCAGCCCGGAGGATGCGCAGGCTCGGGCGCAGCGACTTCGACCACTTCAAGAGGCTCTCGATCAGGGGTGACTTAGCGCAGAGGATCTCGCACTTTCTGGTGACAGACTGCGACATGGAGCTGCTTCACTGCTTCGGCAGCACGAGCTGGGACAGGAACTTGCTTCTGTTCAGAAAACTGCCTCCGAATCAAAGCTGAAACCTGCTGCGCAACGCCACCAGGAACCATCCTTACTAGGATTCAAATAAACTTGTTTTTATCATCGAACAATAATAATAATAATCCTGGCATTTGACACAGCGCCTTATCATGTCTTCGAGACGTCTCAAAGCGCTTCACAGGATATACTGTAAAGTGAATTGACTGTATGTTTTGTGGGCGAAACGCGGCGGCCAATTGCGCACAGCGGCGTCCCCACAAACAGCCGTGGATTGAAGTGACCAAATTATTATTGTTTTTATTTTATTGTATTTTTAATGGGATTATTACCCCTGGAAAAGCGATCCGCCAATCGACTGACAGCCGGGTTCCTAATTACTGCTGGTAAACAGAGGCGTGTGTGTGTGTGTGTGTGTGTGGAGTAAGGAACTTGCCCAACGTTTCGCCCTACCTGGGTGGGAATCGATCCCAGGTCCTCTCGCTTGTGAGGTGAAGGCTCTAACCGCTGAGCTCCAATGATCGCTGTCCTCAGCACTCTGAGACGCTGCATGCAGGGTGTTTAGTTTGTGTGAAGAACGAGGAGACGACGTGTTGACCGGCTGCTGCTATCGAGCGCAGTTGCAGTCGACTGGCAAAAGAGTGTGCCAGCCCGGCTCCAGAGGTTAGTGTGATAGTGAGTGGGGACTCAACAACAATAACAAACTTGCATTTATATTGCGCCCCCTCATGCAGGGTAGCGTCCAAGGGCGTTTGACGGTGGCAGAGCACAGCGCTGAGCCGGGGGAGGGGGAGATCCTCAGGCGCGACCTTAAGATGGGGGAAGGAAGGGGCAAGGGCGGAAACGCTTTGTGGGAGGAATCTTGAGTGTGCGATGAGGCGCTAAATCAAACGCAGGAATTGTTAGACAGATCCTCCCGTCTGATGAAGCACCTGAGCACGTCTCCGAGTGCTTCAGTGGTATCAGTTGTCAAGTGTAGAGGGTGTGAACCGTTTTCGAGGCAATAAATTCCGCAGGCGATCGGTGACTTGAATGTACAGTACCTGATGTCCTCGGTCAGGAATTCCCTTCGCATCAAAGAATACAATCTGCGTTCTTTTGTGTTCGCCCCAAAGGCAACTGGCCAGTCGGGCTCAGTGGCTCAGCGCTCTCGCCTCTGAGTCAGAAGATCATGGCTCCAACGTCAACAATTTATGACGTTCACGGAGAGCCTTTTACGTCAGGAGGACGTCCCAAGGCGCTGGACAGTCAGGGATCTGCAGCTGAGCTGGTGGTTGGGATCAGGAGGGGGTTGGAGGGCGGGGAGGGTAAGGGGTAGGAGGGTCACTGATAGCGCGGTCGAAGAGGCGGGTCTTGAGATGGGTCTTGTAGGAGAAGAGCGAGGGGGTGAGGCGAAAGGACCGTGGGATGGAGGTCCAGAAGGTGACAATGCAGCGTTTTCTCTCCCTCCCACTCACCCCCCGCCACCCCCTCGGGGCTGGAGTGAGTGTCAGCCTGGACAGTGAACTCAAAGGAACAGGTGGCTTTGAGAGGCAAAGCAGTTGATGGCTCAGGGGTTGGGTTGAGGTTGAAGAGACTCCTAAATTAATGTTTTTTTGTGGTAAACAAAGCGTGGCTGTATTTCAGTGACAACAGCCTATGTGCCTGACATCACCAGGTGCTACTTGATGGTCCATATGATGCAGTGAATACAGACTGAGTAACCTTTTGTCTCGTGTGGGCTCTCGAAATCAATTATGAAGGGTTACTCAGTCTGTATAACCGTAGAAGAAATGGATCGTGAATAATTCAGCTTCGATTGTTGAGCACAACGACAGCAATTGCTAATTTCCCCGGGACTGTGGGAGAAACAATGGGCAAGTGTCCTTACTCCACACACCCTCCTCCGTTCACCTACCAGTAAGTAGGGACCCGGTTGTTAGTCGATTGGCGGATCGCTTTTACTGCCTTCAAAAAATAATAATTTGGTTGCCTCAATCCACGACTTTGTGGGACGCTGCAGTGTGCAATTGGCTGCCGCGTTTCGCCCACAAAACATACAGTCAATTCGCTTCACAGTACCTTCTATGAAGCGCTTTGAGATGTCTCGAAGACGTGATGAGGCGCTGTATCAAGTGCAAGGATTATTATTATTATAAAGCATCAATTCCATGACCTTATTGGATGGCGGGGCAGGGCTCGAGTTGCCGAATGGCCTACTCCTGCTCCTAATTCTTATGTTCTTATGTCCATAGAGGCTTCAATCCCAACACTGGACACAAGGTGATGCCCTAATTCTACATGGTTGACCCACTCGGTTCGTTTCATGAGCATAAGAGGCAGACTCACTGGTTGCTGTGTTTCTGGTTTCTCTTTGACCGTGCCTTCAGCTCCCCTCTCGACTCTCTACCCCCTCCTCGCTCCCTCCCTTCCCTCCCCTCACCCTGACCATTTCCCCCCAATGCTCGGGTCCTGACCCAACTGTACAGTGCCTTGGGACGTCCTCCCGACGTGAAAGGCGCTCAATAAATGGAATCTTGTTGTTGTTGTTGCTGTAACCAGGGAATCTCCCCACTCAGCTCCTGTTAACCCTGCAAGCCCAAGCCCTAATCGGTAGGGTGGTCCTAGCTGGACAAGCTGCAGGAAAGCTTGCCAGGCAGCGCTCTTAACGGCAAACTGGGTTTATGATAACAATAATCCTTGCATTTGATAGAGCGCCTCATCGCATCTTCACAAAGTGACTGTGTTTTGCGGGCGAAACGTAGCAGCCATTTACGCACGGCGGTGTCCCACAAACAGTAGAGGATTGAGTGACCAAATTACTATTATGTTTTAATATATTTTTGGGAGGGATTGTTACCCCCGGAATCATTCAGAACCTGACTCTACCAAAAAAAAAAAGCACCTTAGCTGGTTAGATGCCAGCAGTTATCCTCAAGGCACACTCTGGGAGTCACCAATTCCTCGCTCTTATGAGACTCTTGGGTTTGCTTCTATGTGTTTAATTGCTGCCAAGTGTAGTAACTGTGTTTTCCAAGTCCACTGCACCCAATTTCACCCGGCAATCTCCCACAAACAGCTATAATAAGAAATAAACAATAATCCTTGCATCTAAGCGCTTCACAGAATATACTGTAAAGTGTAGTGACTTGTGGGTGAAGTCTATAACTTGTTTTGTTATAGACCGAGACAAAGGGGGTGGGAGATTTCGTTTATGGTGGCAAAGCGCATCGATTGTCTCAGTCAAAGGTTACTTAAATATTAATGATTGCCGCGCGTTGGATTAAATATTTAAACTGCAGAACAATGTTGGGATCAACCAGAGAAGACGAGGCTTTCTGTCCATTGTGGTTCAGCTTTGAGGCACACACTTGTGTGTATCGCCTGTTCCTGTAGAGTCGCAGATTACTCACCTTTGCCTCGTATCGTTTAAACGATCACTGGCTTCTTGGCTCTTTGCAGGAATGTTGCTGTATGCAAATTTGGCTGCTGCATTTCGCACACAATCAGTAAAATCCTGTGAAGTGATTTGAGAAATGCGCCGTATCAAATGTAAGGATTATCCATTGCTTCCAAATCAGAGTTTGATCGCGATTACTCGGGCTTTCGTGAGTACAAGATCCTACATCTTGTGGTATTAATTTTTTGGTGTCTGACCCATGCGAAGAGTTTCCAACCCAAACAGAGAATTCCACGGCATCAAAATGCATCCAGCAACGTCAGAAACTTTACTAATCAGCCGTTGGCAATTCAGCTTTCACCTGAGCGTAGACTTTATAGCAATCATTAACACACAGTGTTTGCTTTGCAAATCCTTTCTCTGAGCTCAAGAATGCTCAAATCTTTGGCTCAGTCAGTAGCGCTCAGGCCTCTACGTTAGAAGGTTGTAGCTTTGAACCCCATGTCACAACTCACACTCTAAGCTGATGCTCCAGTGAAGGCTGGGGGGAGAGGTGGTGGGGAGAGCTGCATTGTCGGAGTTGCCGTCCTTCGGAGGAGATGTTAAATCGAGGTCCCGGCTGCCTGTTCAGGTGGACGTTAAATATCCCACAGCGCTAATCGTTTCTTTCGGTTTCCTGACTGACGCATAGAATCAGTCATTCAGGACATTGCTGTGTGCAAATTGGCTGCCACGTTTGTCTACAAAATCCACAGTCTCTACACTTTACAGTAGGTATCCATATATATCCCGTGAAGCGCTTTGAGGCATCTGCCTGATGTGAAAAACTCTATCAAATGTAAGGATTGTTGTTGATGTGATAAGGCGCTACATCAAATGCAAGGATCATCGTTATTAATGAAAAGGATGCTGGAGACTGAGCCAGGCTGTTGCACAATTTTGTGGGGGGGTGGAAATCAATAAAAGAGGTGGTCAATTAACACTCTGTAGTTACATTAAATCAAGTAAATCGACAGTTTGTAGAGGTTAATCAATTCATGTTCCCCCTCTCCTCCAAAATGACCTTCCCAAGATGCAGCTTGAGATGGGGAAGTGGTGTAATGTCTCAATAAGAAAGTCATTAATGTGTGGCTTGTACAATCAGCCTACTAGTCATATACAGAGATAGGTTTATCTGGTGCAATGGTGTTCTAACCACCTGTAGACTGGCTCAGTTCCTCCTTGAGGTGACGAAGGGAGGGGCGGGGATGGTTATAGTTATTTGCCTTTTATGGTTATTGCCGCTCAACCTCCGTGTAAAGGGAGATAACCAGGACTGGTTCTCCTCGCATTTGAGACAGCGCCTTATCTCGTCTTCGAGACGTCTCAAGGCGCTTCACAGAATAGACTGTAAAGTGAATTGACTGTATATTTGTGGGCGAACGCGGCAGCCAATTGCACACAGCAATGTCCCACAAACAGTCGTAGATTGAAAATGACCAATTTATTATTGTTTTTGGTTTTGGAGGGATTATTATTAGGCTCTGTGTGGAGTAAGGAAACTTGCCCATGGTTTGGCCCTCTGCCTGGAATTGAACTCAGGTCTCTCACTTGCAAAGCGAGTGCTCTAACCACTGAGCCACAGGACTCCACAGCTATTATTATTATTATCATAACATCTCATACTTTGCCAGTTTTGCTAAACACAGGAAAT